TGCTCATCCTCCATCTCGATACCGAAAAATCATTTGAGATTTACTCATTTCTTACAGATCGTCAAGATCGTCTGTAAAAAAAGCAGGGAGAAGATGAAGAACGTAAAAATCGCAAACGAGCGTCACAATGACGATTGCGAAAGAAAATATTTTCAAAGATAAGATTAATACCATCACGGATCCGTAGGAATGATAGAGAAACGTTAACGTAGCATGTGTGTACCTATTGTATGTGCAATAAGAGATGTACGTTACGAGCAATCTATATTATCGCGTGTGAGCACAACGAACCGAGGACGTTTCATCAAAGCGCCATAAATGTGCTTACTCAAGAACAGCCACATACATATAGGAATAAGATAAAAAGGCTGTATAGACATCATATGTACCATGAAAGACGGACTACACCGAGGCTAGAGAGCATCCACTTCATTCATCAATTTATTAATTTACCGACTCGTTGAATCTTTCGACTCGACAACGTATCTCTCTCTTCGTGTACACAGATACCCGATGATGGGGGGACGGGAGCGAACTGGCACAGCTTGCCGGTCAGTCGCAATTAAGTAGCTCGATGCCCTAATTGTACCTGTACGTTGACATGCGTAATTACTTTATGGCTACATACGCATGTGAGCCAAAGAGCACAAGATTTTCTAAATTAAAATTTATTTATTACCTTGAACGTCAATAGTGCAGTGTGTGTTCACTACGCGTATAATGATTGTCACAAGTATCGAAAGATCGAAGAACTGAGAATTTGCGTCACAGTGAAACACACTTGGAAACTGAAAATTATTTTGAAGGCGTGTAAAAGTTAACAATTTGAATAATATTGTTCCTTCGTAAGGAAAGAATTGAACGAGAAAGTGAAAGAGATTTAGATAATACATATCTCTCAGTAAATATCTGTATCAAATCAAATTCAGGTATTTATCTTTTGAGAATGAATTTGTTCAATTAAACGTGTTAAATCGAACTGTTTGCCGCGATAACAGTTTTCGTTCTTCGAATGCGTTTCGTGTACCCATTAGGGATAACGATATCTTTAAAACGAAGTGTTATCGCTAAAAGTCAGGTGTGTGTACCGGTGCATCCAGTGTTCGATCAAAGTGAGCCTGCCGACGACAACTCAACTCTCTTTCTCTTTCTGTCTCACTGTCGACCTCTGTTTCTTCCTTTGTTTTTCGAGAAGTATCTTTTTAGCAAACTACATTCAAACTTATCAATTCTCCATTCTTTTTCATTTTTTTTCACATAAACACGTTCCATGTGAAATTATAACACCTCTGAAACGATTGTGTTTTATACTGTGACAATCGGTGTACGTAGCGTAAATGTACAATTGACTATGGATTTTCATGCAAAAATACAAAATATATAGAATATCCGGAGGAACACATTCGTTATAACATTTGAAAAAATAATTCCTGCCCTTTGTCGATCTTTACAAAAATGAAAATTTCCAGTCTAATGATTGAAAAATTTTCAAAAGAAAATTTTCTATTTCGTAGAGAACTGTTCCGTAAGTTTAATCTTATGTACATTAAGTGGATGATCGTAAAGATTCAAGAACGAAAACAATATTCCAATTTTCGTAGAGCAATGGGGGTACGTTGTATGCTAGTTACGGCACTGGTACACTTAGTCCTTATTCAGAGATCCAATGGATGAAGGTGAGGCGCGAGGGCAGGCACCTATAACAAAGATTCATCGGAACCGGTTTCGTGTTCTGTCCCTTTTTTACATTCCCGAAAGAGGCCCCGTCGAGCCACGGGTGTGAAAACCGACACCCACCCCCACTTGTTATTTTGTCAAAACAAAGCCCTGCGAAAATTATAGGAATCACGCAGCATCATCAACTTGCTCCTCTCTCTTTTTCCCCGTTGAACATTTACTCCTGTCAAATTATTCTCGACCGCACACGTCCTCGGTGTATTTTCTTGGCCCTGCCTTGATCAAACGTAATGCCAAACGAATTCCATCGTTCTACTTTCCATTCGATCGAAAGGACCAAACGCCATTTTGCTAAATAGACTTTAGCAAAACCTGAGAAGAAAAAGAGAGAGGGAGAAAGAAAGAAAGAAAGAAAGAGAAAGAAAGTATAAAATTATTATTAACTTGCTGATTAAGAAAATGTAAAAATAATTGTAGGATAGACTAGATACTACTAAACCATCTACTTTATATTATCATATTATTTTATATCATTATTCTGTAGTTTTCTAAATAAAACACTTCTGAAGATTAAAACATGCACTGTTTTATTATTTGAAATTAATTTCATAATTTATCAACTTCTGTGCATAATTTACTTGAAACCTAGTGCAAGAATAAAATTATTTTAAATTATTACTTTAGTAGTATATACTAAATCCTATGCTATATATTAATCATTTCGTGATTCTTAAATGAAGTTCGTAAACAATACATCTAACGTATGATTGACAGTTATCTTGACTTTCTACAAGAATCAATACGACAATAATTTTAAAATAAAACCAATAAAAAAAATATACATTAACTTTACTCAATTTACAGAAATACAATGATATCTCTTGCGAAAAATTAAACTATTGAATATAATTTGCAAATTTTTATACAAATCATAGTCACAAATCAACTGAAACATAAGAAGGAAGCTGAAGCTCTAATTCTAGACCCAATCATAAAGATTGATCACAAATAAATCAGCTCAATCAATTTTTTTCGCAATTAGTATAATGTCCAGTTTTGAATGTGGTGGCGCCATCTGTCGGTAAACTGTAGTTGCAAGTTAATTCTAAAACTATTTATTTGCGCATTTTGCCGATCAAATTGGATATAAAAAGAAATCTGAGAATCTAATTAAAACGATACAATTGCAAAAGTTCACGAATTAATCCTCTAAATTAGCTTTCTTTGCAAATGAAAATTTAATCAATCTATGGACACTGAAACGCTAGCGTTGCGTAGCGGTGAAACGGAGAAACTAAAAACTATTGCTCTCCTTCTCGCACACTAGTGCGCTTCTTATCTATCGATAGTGGCGCCATCTGAGGAATTCTCAATTACGTCTGCAACTAAAAGAATGAAAAGGAAAAATCCGCTAGATGGCAGCACTTATCTTATTCGTAAACAAAGAGCATAATAATTCGACAAGGACGGATATATATCACGTTTCAGACAAGAAACGCAATAACGTGTAACAAGAACGAAGACAACGATTAGTTCTATTCTTTCACCGCTACGTGGTGCTAGTGCATTAATGTCCATAGATTGAACAAATTTTTATTTGTTAAAAAAAATTAATTAAATAGATCAGTTTGTGATTTTTTACAACAGCATTCGTGAAATTAAATCTTTAACTTTCGTTTTAGTATTTTATTTAATTTACGACATGTATGTACAAAAATTTACCAATTCTACTTAATAGATCGAAACACTGACTAGAACAATATTTTATTTTTCAGGGACTATATTTGAAATTTACTTCAAAATTAGAAGAAATTTTTAGAAATTAGATTAAGTATTATATTCATTACATATACACACACATTATATTTTACAGATTGTTCTCGTACAAGTGAATAAACGACTGATTGAAACGTTACATACAGGCACGAAAAAAAGAAAACATCGAGCGTTTCGTTTTCACGTGTCTTCACTGTCACAATAAAATCTTCATTTTTACAATCATATGAAATCTAATTACGCATTTGATGGCATCTAATTACGTATACATTTCAGTCAGTGACGATTGAAATTTTAAGTGGCTAAAAACATGGATGAAAACGTCGAACGTTCTCAACACGATGTTAGAGAAAATAAAAATTTGTCAAGCATCTTCCCTTCGCAAGCATCTGCACGATGTCAGCCCAATAGGGAAGTAAGTCCAATTCGTCTACGTTAATTCCTTGATCGGATTATCGTAGATTAATTTTACAGAGTAAAGTGACCCGTGCAACGTCTAAAGAGCAAAATTATTTGAATGAAAGGAACATTTTCGATATATTCCATTTCCTCCTTTCGCACGTGATCGTCCATCAACCATCGAACCCTATCCAATATCTGCATAAATTGCTCGATGACTTGATATTGTTTAGGTCGGGACTTAAAGAGCCACGATTACTTTGGGCGGAAAGGTGTGTGTAACTCTGCGGTTAGTGTTTTCAAACTGTAATACGTATATAATTTTTGTCTCATTTGCTCAGGCATTTTAATGCAATGTTCGAGAATATCTTCTTCCACGATTCGGAATTTTTACCATTGGACGGTTATAAAGCTGCTATGAGAACGATGGGTATACGTTCATACGATCCTTGTCCCGTTCAATTCGTCGAGGGATACGTAGATCGGCAAACTTTTTGCACGGAAGCGTAAGAGATAACTTCCCGTTGCGTTATCTGCTAAACCAAGCTAACACAGATACAAAAGTGAAGACGAATGAAACGGAGAATGTTCGTCTTTTTCAGATTGAACTGCATGAAAAAGGAACTGTTGCACATCACGAATGAAAGTGCTAAACCGGCATGAACCAGAATATTTTGCGTAATTTTCTTATGTATTTCCACGCGTATATATATTTCATATATTTTATATTCGTTATATACGAAATCTTTTGAGATTTTATTAGCAGACTTTGAAACTTTGAAAAACTGCAAAATGTTTCGCGGAGATCATAAAAATATTTTAAACAGTTAATGTTATTCGTTGCATTAATAGCAGTATCATTTTTATTATTATTATACGTAAATGAACCTGCAGCTTCTACATACATATATATTTAGATTGATTTCAAATTTAACCAAAATGTAATTATGATAGCTGTGTCTCATTACAGTAATAATAATATTTTAAACGACAAAGTATAATATGTACGTAAAGGTTTTCTAAATGAGTCGCTGCGTTGTTAGACGGAAATAATATCTGCTGAAAAAATGAATTTCTTTTAGTAACAAATATGATCAGCAGTTCTTGTGTCACGTTGAGGAAAGTATAGAAACGAGAGGAAGCGAAAACGAGACGAGACGAGAACAGAAACATGACAAAGCCACTCGATGAGCCAGCCAAGAGAGAGGAGAGAAGGGTGAGAGTCAACAGACGAAGCGAGTCGAGGTAAAACGAGTCGACTCGAGTCGAAGTGGACTCTAACGAGCATGGTAAAGAACGTCAGGCTAGAGAGAAAGTGAGCGAACGAGCGAGCGAGCGAGCGTGCAACAAAACGATACAGTTCGAAAATAGTTGTGTACCAAGTTGTGTAAACGGTATTGGCACGCATAGCTGATCAAACCGTTCGAGATTCGCGTGTTGCTCGGTCTCACCGCGCTGTAACGTTGCCTTCTGATCGAACTCCTCGATTTTCGACACATTCGACGGTAAGCATGATCATCCTTCGAATCTTCTCCGTTTCGTTCCTCGTGCCTACATCATCGTACAATCGTTCGACGAAGAACACGCAGTGTAAGAATAAGAGCAAGTAATTCACACCAGTGAATGGAACCTAAGGAGAGGACATTCTCGATTTATCTGATATTTCCCCATCAATGTGTCTTGTGCCTTTGAAACGCTAGGCTACCGCTGCCATCGTCGTTATGCCATTTGTATTTTTTCTTAACAACGATACTTAATGTAGAATCAAGCACCGTGCTTTCTCGTAACGGAGATGAAATTACGTTAGGAAAGTGAAATATCTACATTTCGAAGAAAGGAGAACTCTTTGCTGTCGACTCGACCACCTGCACACGCATTTGTGTTTAATCTTTTTCCCTAGCGCAACACCTAGATCTTTAGGCCTAGCGTATTTAATGTACATATGTGCAAGGGAAACGTACGCATATACATGCATTTTCTCCCAGTGAAGTTGTAAGAAAAAAAAAGAAAGAAAAAGACGAAGTTGACGATGTTAAGACCATACACTACCACGGTCACTGTTACGAATTAAATCAAGCCTGGAATCTTAACAAGTGTCGGACTGGAAGATCATCTTGCCTTGTAGAAATGCAAATTTAGTCGAGACGAAATTAGGAAACAGAAAAAATGAGAACGCTTACGTTCATAGGCTGTTTGATGCTTTTGCTATTTTTACTGATGTTCATTAGCATCGTGTCATCGGCCCCTTCCTATGAACATGTTGCCCTTCAAGCTGCTGACCAATGCGATTGGATTGGAAGGTTAGTATTCTTTGTCCTGATTATATTCTTTCATTTCTATCGATTCGTAAAAAATTCTACGTATCTGATTTAATGTATTACGAAAGATTACGTTTCTATTTGACATTCACATATTCTTTCCAACGATTTACTCTGAATTGACGAACTCGCTCAATTATTTTCCCTCCAATTTCGCGAAAAAGAAAAAGAAAAGTCTACGAGTTCCATCTTCTCGTTTACATTTATATACTTGTACAGTCATGTACATCTTTTTAAATTCTTCTTGATAACGGGGAACGAAAATGTGTATCTAATAAATATATATATATATA